TAGTAATATGGTGATAAGGGTTATCAAGATAAGAAAGACAGGGGAAGAGGAATTGTGAGAGAAGGGAATAAGATTTATCAGTGCACTGTGGTTTTTGAGATGCTCATGAAACGACTGAGTGGAGATGTATGCTAGGTAGTTGGCTGTGTAAGTTTAATGACCACCAGCTCAATAAAATGTTCTTGGAGAGAGTTAAGACCTTCAGGAAATTATTTTCATGGCTCTTTTCTCAGTTTTCTCACAGAGATGATAGCTACTCCCATTCTAGACACGTAAGAGAGAGGATCGTATTTATACACAATGAAAGCCTAAGGTTTCTAGGGCTTAATGCTCATGCAGAAGTCAACTGAGAAGGGCTGGAACAGTAGGGTGGGAAATTTGGATTCAGTCAGGAGAGCCGATGATGCTGGAAGAAGACTGAGGACAATCACTAGAGGACACCAACAGGTTAGCAATAAACAGAAAAAGGGAGACTGCAAGGAGACTAATAGTAATTTCAAAAATACAGGTCAGTGTGGTATCGAGAGGCTACAGAAGGAATTTTTTCAGGTGAATACGAAGGCCAAAACTTGCAGAGAAGTTATGTGAAGTAAGAACTATTAGGAAGGCATTAAATTTACCTATAAGGAAGTTGTTAGTGACCTTGGTTGAAGCAGTTTTGTTGGCATGGATGGTGTTTAGAAATCAGATTGCAGTATACTTAGAAGAATTTTATTTTGAGACAAGATCCAATTGTGTTGCCCAGGCTGACTTTGAACTTATACTTCTCTTGCCTCCATCTCCCGTGTAGCTATGATTACAGGCATGTGCCACTATCCGCAGCTTTTGGTGTACTTGGAACCCAGTAATCATTTAGCTGAAACCAGTTATTTCTTGATTCTCTAATTCCGCGCTATAACTCCATTCATGTTTCAAGTCACATCTAGGAGGGAACTGTGTTTTCACCCAGGAGACCACTTAGACACACAATGGTGGGTTTATACAATGGCTTTGTGAGAACATTTTTAGGGATTCATGAGCCTTGGCCAATCTTACTGCATTCTTCAGATTAGTTATTTGTATTATTTTTCAAATGTGTAAGCTTAAATGGTTAAAAGAACTAAAACTGACCCGGGGAAGAGTATGTTGAATTACCTTGCCCTTCAAGTAATTACTCAGCTTGAGCCAAGAATTTCTCATTTGGAAAAGTAAGAGCGTCTTTGTAACTAACATAAATAGATAGTATTGATCTGTCACTGGAACCTCTGGTAGCACTGTGTTGCTGTTAATGGTATATATGTTTCATTTGAATATTTACCAGTATCTTATGAGTTATAGAGCTAAATGGAGCCGTAAGTATTGTGTGCTCATGAGCCTGACAGCAAAGGGGGCTCTGTGTGCCACAATAGCACTGGTGCAGGGTACAAAAGACTAGGGAAAATTCCTCTTGTGGTACCACGAGCCATTCTACATAATTTTGGGGAAAAATTATTTCACAATGAAATTATGATTAGGGCTGTCTGAGGCCTAGTCTTCTTGCCTGTGTGCCACCTATGGCATGCAGAAACATAACTCTGTTTCACCTCTGGCCACAGTTGAGGGCTCACTGGTCCCATGATGCTGTGACACTTGGGGCAAGATTATATCAGCTGTGAGGACATCTTCGTTCTTTAAGAACTGCGTAATAATACAAAAAGAGAAAGGTTTCACCGGGGGAGGGACAAATTTCTTATCAGCTTAACTCATCTACTGTTGTAAGAATGTTTTGCTCATCTCTTCGTCCTAATCAATTTAAACTCAGATCTTCGTCATCGTAGGATTACTGCCACCCTCCAAGTATTCTGATACTTCCTCCGATTGTAAGATCCTCATCAATTCAGGACTGTTGCCGCCCTCTGAGTCATCTGATACTCCCTATGAACCCAATAAACAATGGCAAGCTCAGAGTGTCTTTGTCCACTCTGAGGCACTGACCTGATGGCTCCCATGTACTCTGAAATTTAGCAAGCCGCAAGCCTCTATTGTCTTTCTTTCTTTAACCCTCGCCATCCCCCTTTCTAGGTAGTCAGAGAATTGATCGCCCGCCGATATTTTGGGAGGTCTTCTATCCCAATCAGCCACAACTGGGAAGACAGTGGTGGGATGGGGTGTCCTAGGAAGTGAGTCAGTTGTCTCTTGTCTGATGTGAATGTGACTTCAGTCTCTCCAGAGATGCGTGGATAGTGTACTCTCAACCTGTAGGACTTTCAGATAGAGTAGTGAGGCTAATGAGAGAAGAGGGTAAAGAGGGATGATCCACCTGTGGCTGTGAGTGGTGTTTCTGGCAGTGCTCATTCCCTAGAGGACAGGGAAAAAAACAAACTGTATTTTTTCCTCTATACTCTCATACCGAATACAGCCCAGCAACTTTGGTCAACAAAATGTTTCCCAACAAAACTTTGGTCAACAACCATGTAATTCTGCAGTGGACTCCCCAGTGGACACTACCTGGGTGTCCTATAATCCAGTACAGCTCTGAAATTGCCTACATGGTCATATCATCAGATGGTACAGGTTGAGGGCTCTGTCCCACAGAACTGCTCCCCACTTCAGGTACCAATATAAGCCCCAGGCTCTGGCCACTTGACTACAAATTAGTTTCCACGATTCCCACTTTGGTTTAATTAACTTACTACATTAGCTCACAGAACTCAGGGAAATTCTCTATTTACATTTATTCATGTTTTATAATGGATGTTGCAAGGGATACAGATGAACAGCAAAGGGATAGGACAAGGTATGAGGGAAGGCATGCGGATCTTCCATGCTTTCTCTATGTACAACATTCTCCAGGAACCTTCATGAGCTCTGCTATCTGGCAGTTCTTGGAGCCCTATCCTCTTGGGGTTTTATGGAGTCTTCCTTTCTTAGGAAAGGCTGATTATATGGTGATAACTCAACTTTCAGCACTTTGCTCTATTCCAGGAGTAAAATTCAGGCTGAAAGTCGTCATCCTCTAGTCCTGCCTTGGTCTTTCCAATTACCAACTCCCATAAGTGCCATCCATGTAAAGGCTCCCAGACACCAGTTATCTCATTAGTGCACATAAACACTTATTACTTTGGAGATTTTAAGAGTTTTAGAAACTGTATGCCAGGGCATGCGCCCAAAGACCAAATATATATTTTACTATAGTTGACTCCCTAGAAAGGAATTCAGAATTGGGGTGTATATGTACTTCTGACTTGCTGGGTACATGGAGAGCACATCAAAATTTAACAAAGGAACCTCAGTCCTCATAACCAAAAGGTTCATATCTTACCCATGTGTGGCATAAAATTAAATCAGCTTTACAGTAATACCCCAACATAAATGCTTAGAGCCTGTATTAGTCACTCTCACCCCAGGGACAAAATATCCAACACCCACAATTTCAAGGAAGAGAGTTTTACTTTGGCTCATGATTTCAATCCATGGTCGTCTGGTTCCAAGGCTGAAACACGATGGTAGAGGGGCCTTGTGAAGGAGAAGGTGCTCACCATGGCGTCCAGGAAGCAGACAGGGAAGAGAGAGCCTGGAAGGGAAATGAACCCTGCTGGGTCACACCCTCAGTGACCCACCTCTTTTGACCAGGCACCACCCCTAACAGTGCTTTCAGCTATGAACACACCAGAGGGTTAATCCAGTAATGAGTAGAGCACCCCCACATTCCAGTCACTTTCCCAAAGCACCACCTCTGAACACACAAGATTTGGGGGGACATTCTAGATCTAAACCATAAACAGTGCATTCATCCTTGATGGGAAGAAATCCTTGGGCTTTCAGGAGTTTCTCCACTCAAGTATTTCTGTGCCCTCTCTCACAGATTTTGTTTGTGCATCTCAAGTGTTTTCCTGTGGTCTCCTGGGGCTAGCCTAGGGGGGCAGTTGTTTCTCACAGTTATAATCAGGGCTTCTGCCAGCAGCTCTAACAACCAGAGGACAGAGAGGTCAGCCGACCAGGAATGCTGTGTATTTCTCTAGTTAACCTCTCGGCTTCTGACAGGCTTCTCCCTCTGAGGCAGCTGGAAAATGCCTATCTCATCTGATCAGCTCTGTCAGGAGGGGTTTGCATAGCAGAGGTTTTGGACCTCAGTGCCACAGACTCTCTCCTTTGCTCTGCAGCCCATCCCTCTGGCGTAGAGAGCTCCTCTAGCCTGGGTTTGGTGAGGGATGTCAGGCTGCCTGTCACACTCCTCTTGAACCTTTCCTCCTCTGAGTCCCAGGCTCATTCTACCACCAAGCTCTGTTACCGTTGTGTTTGGTGCCAGGCTCTGAGAGCAGCAGGACGGTTCCTAGTCGGCTATTTTAGCACTTTCTGAGAGACCCTGCCCCATCTTCATCCTCACAAGTATGGCTGATTGTGGATTCCACCACAAGGAGAATGTTCTCTAGCCCTTTAGTATTTTCTGGCAGTAAAGAAGTTCCTTGAACATGCCTGGAGAATCCCAGGAATTTTTGAGGAAAATGTTTCCTAACTTCATGACACCAACTCAGCCAGCCAGCTGTGTGAGAGGATTGGATGGAAGTTAGGATGGAGGGTATGTTAGTTATTTTTATGCGGAGATGAATAGAATTGTTTTTTAAAAGGCAAATGGGTATAGTGATGTCCAGAAGCGCCAACTGCTGCAGAAGGTGGTGACATAGATATATAGATAAAACACAGGAGGTTTGTGTTAGAACTTTTAAACCTGAGCCCTAACTAGCAGTGGTAGTTCTATAGGTTTGAATAAGTTTGGCTCATTAAATAACATTGTATTGTAGCTTGCTGGAAAGTCTCAGCTATTTGTAGATTTACTTCTGAAACATTTTGTATTGCTGCAAAATATCAACTAAGTGATAGAAGGCATGTGTTTTAGAGGACTGGGGAAGAAAACATAACCTAATGCGAAGGAGGTTGAGAGGTGAAAAATATTTAGGGGAAGAGGGCATTGGGAATTATTTTTATTGTGTTCTCAATCTCCTCCCCATTTTGTTTCTGAGATATTCTCTGTTTTGACACAGGGCAGAGTCTTCTCTCTGTAGAAGCTGGATATTCACGATTCTGGCCTTTCTCACACCTGGTCCATCTGCATATGACTAATAATTCATGAGGCAGGGCATCCAAGGTGAGTTTTAACTTGGAAGAGAGGAATCAAAAAAAGCCAGGCTAAAGAGAAGCCTTTTTGGTAAGTTAAAGATGTCAGTGGTAGCTCAATTAATTTAAGCTTGATTCTGACCTCCCTGGAGCATCTAGAAACAAAACAATACAGTATTCTTTGATAGTTCTTGTCCAGCCTCAATCATTCAGCTTGCAACTAAGAACCCTGACACTAAAACAAACAAAGAAGCAAAAGCATCAAAGGAATTTAGATCGCATCACCCTTGGAAAAGGCAGAGCATCCATAATCCCACTGCTTTAATGCAAAAACAATGATCCTATACTTCCTTTAGGGCACTATTCCAAAACATTTCTGTAGAACACAAGGTATCATGTAGGCAAAATGAAAGCTCTATTATCAAATAGTCTTGGAAATTTGGGACATGTCTAAGTAAAAACAGTTGCTTTCTTTATTACATAACTTCTCAAAATCTTTAGTATGTGCTATGGCTTGTATCTAGATATTCCCCCAAAGCTTCATGCCATCATAGGTAAGGCTTTTCAGAGGTGGCCAGATCTAGGGTATGTAAGGCTGGGATTGGTCCCTGGTGCAATGTTAGTATTAAAGCTTCCCCAATCTGGGTGTGAGTGCTACCTGCTCTAAGAGTCAGTAGCCTGGATAGAATATAAAGTACAAAAAGAGCATTGCTGCTTGTTGCTTATCACATGCTTCTTGCTACCTTGCTGCCTTCTGGCTGCCATGAACTATTTCTCCTCTGCAATATCCCTCTGTCATGCCACATAGCCTCAGAGCCAACTGTGAACTGAAACCTCTACAAACTGTGAGCGAAATAAACCTTTCCCCTTTAAACTTTGGGTGTCTGGTATTTTATCTCAGCAATGAGAAAAGTAACTAAGACAGTATGTTGATGTGCTTGAAAAGGTTCAAGAAAGGATAAACCTCCCAGAGGGCATATTTCAAGGGATATGGAGGAGCACAGGCTCCATATGCTCATGTGCACATCTAAGCCACCTCCTTAGTAGTAGTTGTAGGAAACATGCACTCGTGTGCCGAGTTCTTATCTTCAAATATTGCATCATAGAGACTTTGAGGTCAATACTGCATGGAATAAACTTCTCTTCTTTTATCTCTGGGGGTCTCTAAGTGTTAACCTGAGATCATCTAGCTAGTGAGAAGGTAGAAACAATTGCCCAGAGTTAGTGAATCATATCACTACTTAGTCTCTATGTATGTATATTGTATTAGGAGCAGATTGTCAAGATTTGAAATTAGGGCCAATGGGGCTGGGGATTTGGCTCAGTGGTTTGGTGGCCCGCCTTGCAAGTGCAAGGACCCGAGTTCGATCCCCGGTACAAAAAAAAAAAAAAAGAAATTAGGGCCAAGACCTCCTCATCCAGAAATAAATTTATGTGGACATTTTGAACTCACCAAAAAGCATATGCGACTTTCTATATATTCCCCAAGCTTAAGGGTGAAACCTTAAGTTGACATGGACTATAAAGCAGTAAACAAAACCCGACTTTCTTCAAAGGAAGAAGCTCAAATGGACCAGTGATAGAAAATTTGCCCTGTAAATGGACACAAAGTAGCCTTATCCTTTCCAATTATGTCCAGTGTGGAAATAGCCAAGATTTAAATGAGGCTTAATTCAAAGAAACAAAAAATAATGGATCGTCTGTGGAGGACTGGATATTAAAGGAAAAATGAAACCTTATTCTATTGTTTTTTTAGGTGCTGAATTGGCCCCAGGAAATATGACATTCACTGATAGCTGTAGCCCAGCTGTGCTATATGCCTTTGCTAGTTAGAACATAGTACTGAGAAAGACACAGATATGAATTTCCATGCAGTATTTATGATTATATTACACATTTATTATACTAATATTTAATGAAGACAGGGACTTGTTTTTTCCCCCACTGTATCCTCAGCAGTAGAATACTTGCATTATAAATATTTGCTGAATTAATGAAATTGTTCTCCTTAGAGAGCTAGTTTGCCTGCACCCCACAGATAGAGGTTGAACCTCTAATCTCTTTTTTTACAGCTTTAATTGAGTTTATTGGTACATTTTAGGGATACAGTACAGTTACATTCATTGTTGGGATCTTGTACCTCTACATGACAAGTCTTGAGTCTCACTTTTTCCCCTTACCCCTGCCCTCCCTTCACCCCCTCTCCCCTCCTCATCTACAAACACTTTATTTTCATCTTTTCATTCTCTCACATTTTTTGAACCTCTAATCTCTATTAACCTGAATTTCCTACTTTGGTATATGTGTTTAAAGGCAATTACCAATATATTTCTTTAAGTTTCCTTTGAAAAATGAAGCCACAAATCTCTGCTTTGTTCTGTTTGGTAGAAATTCACTCTGAATGCTCTTCTTTTTGTAAACCTACACTTTCAGAAAATGCATAGCCCTGTTTCTGGTAATATAATGGCTAGGTCCCTGGAACACTGGAATAATCTTCCTTTCGGTAACAATGAAAAAAAAAGCTAGTTAATGCATATTTTTAAAAAGTCTTAAAAGCATTGAAGAATAGGTAAAAATATATAGCAGCAATTTATCAGTCTAACATGTAAGGGAAATCAGGAACTAGAAACAGGAAGTAAAGTTTGGAGAGTCTTTTCATCCTGAGAACTGCTGCTGCAACTGCTGACTTGACCTTTGATTTTCATGTTTAAGATAAGATAAGCACCTCTGATTGTGTGAGAGAGAAACACACACACACACACACACACACACACACACACACAGAGCAAAGTCCAATGCCTATTCTCAATTTCTGGAACTCCTGTTAATCATATTTTAAGTGTAAATGTAACCCACTTTATCCCTCCATACACAAGAAATTTCAGGGCAAAGCACAAGGCTTAAGTAGAGGTTAAAAAATAAAACTGAGGTTAAAAAAGACAAAATAAGAAACAGTTCTTTTAATAATTGAAATCTTAATCGGATCTTCATGTGTACATGTTAGTCAATTCACACATATGGTCTGTGTGATCCTAAAAAATTTCAAATGATTGGGGAGGGGAGGAGGGGGTGAAGGGAGGGCAGGGGTAAGGGGAAAAAATGAGAATCAAGACTTGTCATGTAGAGGTACAAGATCCCAACAATGAATGTAACTGTACTGTATCCCTAAAATGTACCAATAAACTCAAAGCTGAAAAAAAAAATTTCAAATGAGATATGAAGTATTCTCACAATGGCAATGCCCCAAGCATATGGTGAAAATAAACTCAAATCCTCTCTGAAGGAATCCACTTTCACTGAAGCCCTCTAATTCTTCTAAGGAAAAGAAAAAGAGCAGCTAACAGTTAAAAGTAACTAAACCTGTAGATAGAAGAAACAGATCTGCACAGACTTTAAATATTGTAATTATCAAGTTTGTAATCCAAAATAAATATAATTACCATGTTTGAAGAAATAAAAGATAAGCTTAAAATATCATTAGGGAACATACAATTATAATAATGGTCTGAACAGATTTGAAGAACCAGATATAATTTCTAGGAATGAAAGTTATAATAACAAAATTAAAAAACCCAATGGAAAATTAGGTAGAGATGAAAAATAAATGAGTGAAATAGTAGATAGCTCAAATAAATTATCCAGAATGTAGGATAGCGACACAAAACAAGAGAAAATGAGATAGAGATATCCACAGATAAGGAGACTAGAATGTGAAGATTTAATGTTACGGACCAGCAAGTTTGATCAATAGAGATGCACCACACTCTGCCAGATTCGAACCCATTTATTATAGCTGGCAGCCAAGGAGGGGCTTGTGCCCAGGAAATTTCCTCAGCAATGGCAAGCAGTTTGATTTCTCCTTTTAAATCATGCTTTCAGGTGGGGAGGGCTCAGGGGACAGCAAACAGAATCCTACAGAAGTGGAATCAGACCAGGTTGGTGGGGGACACAAGGAAGTTTCACACACACTAGGTGAGCTACCAAACATCCTGTAATCGCATCAAGTTTACTGCCAAGCAGGATGTGGGGGTTTGGGGTGCTTTGTTCAAGTTGCAAACACTTTGTTCAAGCACAGGTACAAAATGGCATTGAGACACAAGGTGGAGTTGGGTTGGCTATCACACTAACAAAAATCACATTAGAGTTCAAGAGAGGTGGAAATACAAGAGGGAAAATGTTTGAAGAGCTAGCAGTTGAGATTTTTAGATAAGTATTAAAGATTAAGATGTAGACTAAAAAAACCCCACAAATCCCAAGAAAAATACATGTACATCTAGGCACCTTGTAATAAAGGTCACCAAAAACAAAGAAAAATCTTAGAAATAATGAGAGAGGGGCTAGGGATTTAGCTCAGTGGTTCTGGTGCCTGCCTCATAAGTACAAGGGCTGAGTTCAATCCCTGGTACAAAAAACAAAAAACAAAAAACAAAGACAAAAAAACAATGAAAGGATAAAAGACAAATTGCTTTTAAAGAAATAACATTCAGACAGAAAATGGTTCATTCTCTCTCTGTCCTTCCTTCTTTTTTTCTTTCCTCTTTCTTTCTTTCTTCTCTAAAAGAAACAATAGAATCCTAGAATCAAAGCTTAATATTTTGAGGAAAACAAAACAAAAAGATCTCTACTAACCTAGAATTCTACACCCAGGCAAAGTCTATTTCAGGAATAAGAATAAAATAACATTTTCAGCAAATGAAAAAATAAAAGAATCTACTGCCAGAGGACCTCTATAAAAGAAATTTTAAGAAATGGCCTTTGAGAGAAAGGATGCAACCCATTTGGAAGGGTTTGGAGGAGGACAGATATAGTAAAGTGTTATGAAGTCTATATATTACTCAGAAAAAGAATAAAGCGTTCTTTAAATTGGGACATTGATAAATTAATATATGTGTTATAATTCTTGTGACAGCCACTGAAAGAATGACCAATAATGTACAAGTTCCAAACTAGTAGAAGAGAAAATTGAGAGGGCAAATAATCTTCATTCAGTAACAACTAAAAAGAAATAAAAAGGAAAAAGAAAAGAAGGCA